TATTCTATTCTATTCTATTCTATTCTATTCTATTCTATTCTATTCTATTCTATTCTATTCTATTCTATTCTAGTAGGAGTGCAAATTCAGGGTTGTACCAGAGTTCAGTATGTAAGATCATCTAAGTTTATTTTTAAATCAGACCAAAGGCCTATATAATTCAGCATCCTTTGGAAGATACCTACCGTAATAATCAACAATCATATAATAAGCCACAATGATCTAGGATTAGCTATGGGCTTATATGACACCTAAAATTTAAGCCAAAGTTTAGAATCCGAAATGTAAAAAAAGAATGAACTGAACATGTTCATTCTTGTTCAAATAATAAGAAATTATTTAGTAAGAGTGCATATAAGGCAAATGGTTTTGGTAGGTTATTTCAAACCCATATGTAAACTTTTAGCTTCCTTACTTTACCACTCTATTTCTTATCAAACTGAACGATTGCCACAATCCTAAACACTGCCTGCAAGGCTGACTTTGAAACTAATGATGCTCCTCTTATTGTCTCTTTCCTTCCCTATTTATTTTTATTTGTAGATTCAGAACTGGCACTAATGTATAACGATGCATCGGTGTTAGAAAATCATCATTTGGCAGTAGGATTCAAACTCTTACAAGAAGAAAACTGTGATATTTTCCAGAATCTCTCTAAGAAGCAACGGCAAATGCTCCGGAAGATGGCCATTGACATGGTGAGAAGCTTTGTTGGTCATGGTTATAATTTCGAATGAATCACAATATTTCAAGTGAGATGACAGGTGTTTATTGAAATGCATGAGACTGATTATTTTGATGTTGAAAACTGTTTCAAGGAGATTGTTGTTTAAGAATAAATTAATCACATAGTTAAGGAACTAGGATGAGATTTTACTATTTTTAAAGCTTGGCAGACATGTTTGAAAGAAAAGTTCCTTTATCTCTTGGGAAGTTTACATTCTTCCCAAGTTTACATTCTTCTCTTGGGAAGTTTCTGTCGTATTGTTTGTATTCCCCTGAAAAATAGTTGCTTGGCTTCAGTCAAATATAATGGAATTCAGAGAACATTGTGTCTTCATCAGTTGTGGGGGGGTGAACTTCTACAGTTGCATTTTGTACTTAAAGGCCATTCTAACCAACTTCAGGATTTAGACAACAATATGAAAATCTAGTCATTGTTTTTATTCTTGGGGATCTAATTAGAAAAAAAGAATTTATCATTAATAGAGAATGGTGAATGAGACCCAAATACAACAAGGGCTGTTAATCAAAGATGTCTGTCAAACACTCAAGAGGGTGTCCGTGAACATGTAATTGAAGCCCCATTCCATTTCTACATTTGTCATTTGCAGCATGGACACCATCTTGGCCTTTGTAAAGAATATGAGGAAAATGAAATGAAATGAAAAAATATGTTGTGTGCATCTGAAACTAAAAATCCATCCAAGCAGCTGCTTTAACATGCATTTCATTGTGAGTTGGCACAAAAATATGGCGGCATAAATTGCTCTGTCACAATAGTTAATCTATAGTTAGTCTAGGAACAAGCAGTGTCATTCTGATAATTTTAAGGTGGAACAAATTAAAAAGAGCAAGTGGTTGTTTAGTTTCCGTTCCTACCTGCTAGATGGGAAGAACAATGGCCTATTTTTATCCAGAATATTAGGATGGGTTTTATTTCCAGGTAGTCCTCCTTAACAGTTAGGAACAGAAAGTCTGTTATTAAGCAACATGGTTATAAATTGAAAAGCCACTTGACTGCATTGCTGTCCCAATTGCCATTGTTGAGTGAGGACTGTGAGGGTCATTAAGCAAGGACTTCATCTGACTACAACTTGCGACTTTCTGCCAGCTTCCAAGTTGATTTTGCTTGTTGGAAAACTGGCAGGGAGGGTTAGAAACTGCAACCATGTGACCATGGGACACAAGTGACAATCAGAGGTGTGGACCAATTCCCTGAAATGCAATCATATGATTGATGGGACACTGTGACGGCCATAACTTTGAGGATCTATTGTAGATACCATTTGTTTAACACCATCATAAACATTGTAACTTCAAACAAGCGCTGTATGAATGGTCATTAAACAAGGGCCACCTGTTTTCAATTTTGATGCCACCTACCTCCATTAGGATTTGAGTGACAGTAGCCATTAATCAATTATTTGATACTTCACCAGAGCTAATGTAATGATTTAAAAATCATATTGAAAATAAAATAAATATTCCTGGCCACCTTTGGAATTGTCCTACTGTTGATGTTCACAACAAACTTACTGCTACCACACTCTTCCTCTATTCCCCATATTTGTCAAATAGTTTTCTTTGTTTAAAGAAAGGTCTAGTGATACCCCCAAATGACCTGATGTGTGCTTTGATAAATGCCAGATTGCAAGTGCCCACAAACTAAGGAGAGGATAACATGCCAAAAACAATCAGATTCTGATTGTGCCATGGTCATTGGCAAAATGTTAGAAATTGCATGCAGAGGGCTTAGGCTGAGAGAAGATGGTAACCATCCCTGTAACACTGAATCAAGTAACTACAAAGTAAGGTGGGTTCAGCTATGGGTTGAGATAAACTGAAGATAATGTGAGGGATCTCCTTAAAAATTCCTAACTGGGCATCTTCAAGCCACCTTTAGAAGGATGTTGGATGAGTCCTATGAAAATTCAATACTTTATTTGGCCAAGTGTGATTAGACACACAAGGAATTTGTCTCCTGTACAGAGGCTCTCAGTGTACAGACAAAGCAACAGAATAATGACCACCACCACCACCACCATCATCATCATCATCCCAATAAGAGAGGGGAGTAAAGATGATAATAAGATAGTAAGAAGGATAAATAATAATACTACAACAATAATACATGAGTAAATATGCATAGACATTAAACAGCACTGTGAGAATTCGATATTCAGCAGAATGATAGCTGAGTGATAGAAAAAATGATGGCAGAATGATGAGAAAAGGAGCAAGGTTTAAAAGATCTGAAGGAAGGAAGTAGGATCTGGTGCAGAGCTGAACAATACATGAAAGAAAATGAATGTGCATATTTGATTATGAATGAAAAGATTATGTATTATATATGTCAGTATGAATTGGTGTCATCTAGTGGTGGTGGATGCATATGAAAATAAGCATCTATGTGTTGGTGACAGTTCATGTTACACTCTTCCAAATAGTAACAACATCAGACCCAGGGGGCTTTGGGAGGAAATGTGCAATACTAAGAAAGTATGTAATCCAGATGAAAATTATTCTAACATCTAACATGAGTGGGTGGATGGGAACAAGATGACAGGGTACAGAAAGAAGTGATCAAGCCATTCAGAAGCTCAAGAATTAATAATAACGGTAATTATTTAGGGCGTATCTACTTAGAAAAAGACTTCTTTGTTTGAATGTGCAGTTTAAGCATAAGGATATCCATATGGCTAAGGATTGAATAAATCTAAAAGTGTGATTGATTTGAGAGTTTACAAAGAAAGATCAAGAGAATTAGTGAAGATGATGAAAGGTTCTGAATATGATGCAGATCATTTTTTTTATAAAGTGGATCTTAGAATAATGAAATTGGAGTGAAAGAATAACTAAAGGAAAGGAATGTCAGAGTCTGTATAAAATAAAAAGACAGATTACACAAAAAGAATGGAAAGTGTACGTATGTAAGGAAACAGTGGAAAATGCTTGGAATAAAGTGAAAAGAATTATATTACAGAGTTCAACAGAAGTGTGTGCAGTTAAACTAAACTAATTGGAAGTATAAAAAAGGAGCTTAGTGAAATGATCCAGTGAAAGAGGCAGTGAGTGAGAAAAAATACATATCAGAGGATGACTGCTGCAAAAAATAAATATAAGGAAAAGATATACAATATGTTCTGACAGAAAAAGGTGGTTTATATAATAGTCAAATAGAACAAAGAATGGTTAAGATTAAAAGCAGCAGAGAAAAAGAGTGATATTAGTGATAATAAAAATTGTTTTAGAAGTAGGAGAAGCAAGCTAAACAAAAAAACTTTTAGCAGAGTAAAAGGAATTAACCATAAAAGTAATGAAATTATTCGGAAAGAACTTGAAGTGAAATTGAAATTTAATAGATTTACAGGAATGATAGTGATATGTTGAAAAATGGTACTATAATACAACAAATGCAATTACTTTTAAGGTCTAAGGGGAAATTAATGAAATAGAAGTTTTATATGGAGTGAGAATATGGAGAAAATAGTGATATTGCAAGTGTAGAGGATATAAGTGAAGATGTTAAAAGGTAGATCTGTTTTGCTTAAAGAATGCCTAAGCAACTTTTTAACATGTGCAAAGACTACATCTGTGTTTGAAACTTGGAAAAATACCATTATTGTTTCCCTATACAAGGAAAAAGTAGCAAGAATAAATGCCAAAATTGCAAGAAGTTTTTTAAGTTGCTCAAAAGAATTTTTGGCAGAATTCTGATTTAAACGGTTTGAGGTAAGGTGAGAAAAACTTGAGAAGTATACTGTGTCTTTTATTTCAGGAAGGGAAGGGAATTAGATTTCAGCTCTTCAGCATGTCATTGGGAAACAATGTGAGAAATAAAGCTTATTTGATTAGGAGAAGAGGTCTGAATTAGATAATATTTTGCTTGAATAAGAGTTTGAAGATTGCTGAATGCAACAAGAGCAGTACATGAGTTTTATGACAGTAATTAGGAATTTCCCTTTGATAAGTAATGCAGTCATAAAGCATGATGACTGCATCACTCAGCAAAGGAAATTCCAGCAGTTTCCACTGCTGTTGTTAAACAAGGATTGTGAGTCATTAAGGAGAGAAGCAACTTAGAACTAAGGATAAATTTCCTGACAGAACAATTAATCAGTGGAACAACTGGCCTCCAGAAGTTGTGAATGCTCCAACACTGGAAGTTTTTAAAAAGATGTTGGACAACCATTTGTCTGAAGTGGTGTAGGGTTTCCTGTCTAGGCAGGGGGTTGGACGAGAAGACCTCAAAAGTCCCTTCCAACTTTGTTATTCTATTCTATTCTATTCTGATCTGTTCTATTCTATTCTATTCTATTCTATTCTATTCTATTCTATTCCATTCCATTCCATTCCATTCCATTCCATTCCATTCCACTCCACTCCACTCTACTCTACTCTACTCTATTAAGGCTTCACATGATTGTGACTTGCAACTTTCTGCCAGCTTCTAATAAGCAAAATCAATGAATGTTAGACTATATGATGTAACAAGAAGATGAATCTGAAAATCTGAATATGGATTAAAGAATATTAGTTGTCTTTGACAGGGAATATGGAGGAAATGATTGTAAGTTGCATTTGTCAGAAGAATCGTAAATTGAATGCAGTGGGAATGACTATAGATTAAAATGTGTGCTATAAAACAAGAAGTAATAAGTAAGGATTAATATATGCTAACTGAATGTGAATTAAATACAGAAATGAGTGGCCATAATGAAACAAATACCGTATTTGCCGGCGTATAAGACGACTTTTTTGCCCTGAAAAACATGCCTCCAAGTGGGGGGGTCGTCTTATACGGCGAGTATATAACAAAGGTCGTCTTATACGCCGGCAAATACGTTGTTGTCACTCGGTGCAAGAGCGACGGGGCGGAGCTCCGCAACTTGCGAAGCCCCTTCAAGCCCAGCCGGAGTCTCTCTTCCTCCTCCTCCCCCACCCACCCACCCACCCACTCTGCTCGTGCGAGCGGACAGGCAGGCTCCAGGCTTTGCCCCCATCCCTCACCTCCTTCCATCCCCCTCCACCCCCCCCAGTGGCAGAAACTTCGCCGCACGTGGGGACGAGTGGAGGGGGTGGGAGAGCAGCGACGCAGCTCAAAGCTGAGAAAGCGCCATCCTTGCTTTTGTGCTTCGGGAAGAGTTCGTGTTTTTTGTTTTTTTGTTTTTCTCCCAGGAATGGGATGCTGCTCGTGCGATTTTCTTTGGGAATTTTTCTCTTCCCGGTTTCAGCCTTTGCTCCGAATCCTCCCCCCCCCCCCCCCCCCCCC